GTCGCCTCCAAAGTTTACTTGCGGGAGCGTCTGGATCCCATCCTCCAGGAGAAGCACTGTCCGTCTGTCCGCCCCGCTTAGGGCTTCCGCCCTCCCCGGCGCTCGCGCGCTAGGGAGGTCTGTCTATCTGAGCCGGGCTGTGCGTGGATGTGCCAAAAGGAGGAAGAGTGAGTGTGTGGATGGGAAGTGTGAGTGTGGAGTAGGAGAGAGCAGGAAGAAATGGGATTGGGGTGGGAGGTTTCGGATCTCAGATGAAATGGCTCAGCTGGAATGCCGCCGGAGAGGACAGCGCACGCCGGCCGGCGAGGGGCTAGGGAAGTGGATGCCAGTGTCCCCCGGGCAAGCCAGGCATGGTGAATGGTAGCTGGTGCTGCCGTCTGCGCCGGCTCTCCGTCTCCCCTCTGAGCCAGCCGCCGCCGCTACTGCTGCTGTTGCTGCTCCTCCTCCCGCTGCCGCAAACTACTGGCCGCGGAGTCTGGAGAGAGCTAGAGAGAGCCCGAGCTGCTGAGCGGGGCTACGCCAGGCACTAGCCAATCAGCGTGCAGCCCAGCGGGCTCCGGTCTTGGGGCGGGACCAAGGCGCGAGGAGGGGCGGAGGAGGGGGGGAGGGGAGGCGGGGCCAAGCGGAAACTTACACACCGGCCCAACAGAGTAGAGTACCCTGCCCCGCAGAGCCCTTGTGGGATTCAGGGGAGGCCTGACTGGTGCGGGACAAGTGGAGTTAGGTGGACCGGACTTGAGGTGTGCTCCCATTGAAGCTGAGTCCACCTAAGTACTGAGCGCCTCTTGCATCTCTTGTTTGCAGAGATTACAGAAAAAAAAATGAAGATTTGATTTTCTTGCTGTTTATCTCCCTCATGTATCTTCATATCTTAAACGCAACATTCTCTTCCCCCTGTCTCTCTTTCTCTCTCCTTTGTCTCACCGTTCTGCATTTCTGTTTCTGTTTTCTCTTATTCTCGGGTAGTCGGGGAAAAAAGAGGAGCAAGCGCCCCCGCTATGGTCATTCATCAAGCTCTTGGCCAGTGTGTCTTCACTTTTGCCAAGAGCAAGGCCGCCATCCACCCAAACCATTATCCCTCACTGGGAAGATGCCGCACTCCCCAGAACACCTCAACACACACACACACACACACACACACACACACACACACACACACACACACACGGTGGAGGGACGGAGAGACGGGGTGGGGGGGGGGTTGTTGGTCCGATCCGGCTCACTCAAGTCTCTACTTAATCAAATGGGATAAGCGACTCAAAAAATGAGTCTCCAAGGGTTCTCGGTACATTTTCTCGCCCCTCACCCAACCCTTTCGGATAATTTAGCTCCCTATAAATAAACTACGTTTGAGAAATCCAGCGGAGCGGACGCCGCCGCGCCGCTCCGCACCGCGCCAGTAGAGCCTGGATCCGGACAGAAGCAGTGGAGTGGGTGCGCCGTCCGCCGAGGTCCCAGGCAGCTGTGAGCCCGCCCTGGTGCGGTGGGCATTCAGCCTTCCCCTGGGGCCTGGTCTCTCTGGGGCGAGGGGGGGTACCAGATCCCTTTGGGCAGCAGTGGCAGCTGTGGCGTGTGCCAGTGTTGGGAAAGGAACGGGAGGCCGGCGTGGACAGGGTTGACATCAAGCTTAGGCTGCTTCTGAACCAAAGGTACACTAGAGACAGAGGGGGACTCCTCCCTGCCCAAATCTAAGGCTCTTAATTAAGATCGCGAGCTGTGAGAGAGAAAAAAAAAGCGCCCTCGACGAACAATTTTTTTTCCTGTTTCTTTAGAATTTACAGATTGAGGATGGGAAGAGCTTCTGAATTCACAGTTCTGGAAGAGCAAACCTTCCTTCTGAGTTGGTAGTCTCTATTATTTGAGCGTCTCAGTTGAACAAACTCATAATTAGCTCAGCGACTTTGGCCCGAACCTGTGGGCTCAAAATGAGACTCGCTTTTGCTGTTTTAAAAACATTAAACAAGAATAGGAAAAAACGTGTTTGGACATCACATAATGGATTTTTTTTTCAGAACTGCCATCTTCTTTCTGAGAGCAACCCAGCTGCTTAAAAGAATATATCATCCAAAAGGAGCTAGTTTAGCAGCCTTTACTTTGTCGTGGAGTGGGGGAGGAAAGCTTCCTTCCACAAAAGGGTATTATTTTGCCAGTGAGGTTGAGATCGGACCCACTGAAAGTGTAGCCAAGGCCAAGGGAAAAGCGCCTGACCCGCTTGCCTCGTGGGGGTTGCTTCACATTAGAATGCAATTCAGCCCCGAACATCAGAGAGAAAATCGAGGTATCTGCAGTGAGAATCATTTCATTTTGATCATTTAGAGCTGCGGGTAGACGGCAGGGAGGGTGGCTTCAGGGAGTCCCGTCCTCCGCCTGGTTTTCTGCAGACACCATTAAGAGAAATGGGCAAGTAGCGGAAGAGAATGACAACATGGCAGGCAGCGCGGGCTCACCTCGTGGGCTGCTAAAGGAAGGGTTCCATTTGATTTATCATAGTTATTTACCTTTGATGTCAGCGAGTGGGAATGAAGTGCAGCTTGGTCTAATTAAAAAGGTCTAAAAAGGCATTTGAAATGGGTTTGCTGTCTGATCACGGGATGTGAGTTCCGTGTTTGGCAGCTTTCTAAAATATTGCTGGAACTATTTAAACAGAACAATTAGCAGCATGCTAAAATGTTTGCATGCTATGCTTAGAAGCTCTTAGCTGTAAACTTTAAGGCGATCTGTTCCCCTTTAAGTTAAAAAAGGATGATGCTGCTTCCTTGTGGCGAAGGCTGTCAGGAACCCGCTGATCAATAAAAGTAAACTGGCGCCTCCACGGCTTGATTGAGCGGGAGCAAAGAGTCTGAGAAGTAGTCTCGGCCATTAACAATCCCCCAGGTAATGAGAAATGGAAGAATTACTCAGGTAAAATGATTAACATTGCCGTGGTATCTGAAAAGATGCACACAACAAGCTAAGAAGACTGTGGACCTTCTTACCTTAGGGAGTGCTAATAGAATGTCTATATGCTGCTGTCTTTTTAAAGATAAATAGGAGAATTCAATTCATGTAGAATGTCATTACCTTTGTAATTGCAATCACATTGGAAAGACATGTTCTGCCTTTGCAAAAACAAACCCCTTCACTAACGCAATGGCACCATTTCCCCGGCTTCCTGCTCGCTGTTCACATTCCAGGCACCCCTCTTATTCCAAGCAGAGCACCAAAGTACTTTCAGTTACCAAACTGCTTTTACAGAAGGCCAAATGCTGAGAGAGGCAGGGGGCGTATGGATCTGCTTCCCTTCTTTCCCAGCACCTCCTCCACCCTCAAGCTCACAGTGATAGTTTCAAAACCCCCCCCCCCGCACACAATAGTTCTTCCATCCCCCACTCTGTCTATAGATAATCCGAACACCCTTTGCTTTCTGACTCGTTTTTTTCCTAATATATACTCGAGATTATTGCATTCCAACAAAGCTATTAACTAAACGAGGGGCCCCAAACCACCTTCATTATCAGGAATTTATTAGCTAGCAGAATAAAAGCATTTGCATGTAGATAATAAAAACAAAAAGAAAGTTCTGTTCATTTTAGCTTCCGTTTACTTCAATCCTGAAGGGAGCCCCGCCTCCTCGAGCTCTTTAGAGACACAAGAGGGCCATCTAGTGACTATCTCTGGTATTTTTTTCATCTGACTGCTGTAGAGAAACCACCGGAGGCTCTGCTCTGGGTTTGCACAACTGGCCTCAGCTTTCTAGGCCAAGTCAGTTCCTTAGGCTACTGAGGCCAGAATCAAAATTGGTAAAAGGATTGTGGTTTTGTCCTTAGAATCTTATGCGTGCTGCTAAAATTGTCGAAAATTGCAATAGAAGAAACAAAAAAAGATCTTTACCTTTAAATCAAACAGATGTGTGCGTGAAAGCTTTGCTGCCCCAAGACTCAGAAGGGTAAGTTTGATTCAGAAAAGTTTAAATTAATAGTAGGAACTAAGATACCAGGATATGAGGGACTGTATACATAGAGCTTTCTGAGATATGTTTACAAAAGTATTTGTCTCACTCGCCAAAAATAAATAAATAAATAAATAAATAGCATTCAAAGGACTCCAGACTCCAGTTTCTCTCCGCCCTCCACCTCTCTACCTACCTCTTCCTTCTTTATATTTCTGACCTTGCTGCAGGAAACTGGATGTCTTTTGGCTTGATTTTTTTGTTGCTGTTGTTTCATCCCATAAGCATCCCATTCCCCAAATAATCTGACCGACTGCCTGGAACGTTCTCTTAGAACAAAACGGGGGAGAAGGCTCGGCTTCAAAGCTAGCCAAAAAGTCAATCTTACTTTTCCTGACTGCATATCTTCTCTCCTGCCTTGAGATGCACTGTCTAGAATTAAAGAACAAAAGGGGAGGAAGCGGGAAGAAGCTGGAAAGTGTCCTTACTCAAGGCATCATTGACTTTACAGCAACCCTGGGAGGGTTAAACTCTTTGCAGATGTGGAAGCAGAGTTGTGTGGCAGCCCAGTCATTTGCCAAGATGGCCACATTACACAAAACTCAACCGCTTTCCTTGTGAA